CCTTGGCTTGCAAGGGTTTGGAGCGCATTTAGCGGATCCGGCATCATGCCTTGTTGGTTCATTTCGGAATTCTGTTGGGGCGGCTGGGGAAAATTTTCCAAAACGGATCCAGGCTTTGAAAAAAAAAAAATATTAGGGAGTATAGAGGAGCTTTTTCAGATTCTAAATCTGAAGACCCCACCCTCCGGAGGCTTATAGTTTTAAAGTAATTCGCATTTAAAGTTGCAAAAAATACCGAATTTAACCTCACCTTTTGCTTTGTACACCAATTGAATGAAATGTCAGTGCTGCCATACATATGAAAAAATGCCTCAAAAACACAAAACGGAAGCAATAAGAAATGCAGATAATGATCGCGCGATATTTAATAAAAAAATTTAATTATTTATTGGTCGATTTTTGATTAAAAAGTTGCATAATTTATCGAAGTATCGATTTTATAATAAAATGCGATGTTTTATTAAAAATGTTCATTATTCATCGAAGTATCGAGTTTTAGAATATAAAGCGCCGCAGGCGAAAATTTTTAATAAAAAATCGCGAGATTTTTTATTAAAAATTTTCGATATATATGGAACTATATTAATATATGGTTACTGGGTGTTTTACATAAAATCGCGCGATATGACCATTTTACGCACAACTCTTTTTTGTGTTGGCCGCGTTTTAATAAAATCCTTTAATAGTGGCGTATTTACTTTTAAAACGTATGGCAGCACATATTTGCTCTTACTGTCGGCCATTGTTATTTCTGTTTGTTTGTGAAAAGTGGTAAAACGTGAACACAAGTTTATAAACGCGTTTTACTTAATTAATTGGTGAATTATATATAATAAAAGCATAAAATACGCATGTGAGCATTGAAAATATAACATGTAACTCAAAATATAAGTGATAAGTGGCATATTTTAAAAAAATTAGGGGGTGATAGTGGACATTATTTAACAACAAATTGCTAAAATACTATTAGCAATTATATTGTGAGAGTGAACAATTCATGTTGAGGAGGCCTCCCCCAACATCCTCACCAAGTTTCATGACGAAATTCCTTATACTTTCGCTGAAATTTCGATTGGTTCCGTTTTGGAAAGCCCACCCGTTTACACTTTAAGTTGTGAACAAATTTGTAAAAATACTCACTTTGCGCTAAGTCTTGAAAGTGCATAAACAGCTTCGCCACCAAACCCATATATTCTTCTTTGCTGCGCGACTTTTTGAAAATGTGATTTTCCATAACACCCGCATTCTTCGTAGGATCCGTCGTCTGCAGAGCTTGGTTGCTATGAGGAAAAATTGAGAACGTTTATACTGAGTATCTTATTAAATAAATACGAACATTTTTGCTATCATAGTTTGGCGAAACTTTTGGGATGGCCATTCTTCCGCCATTTTAATGGACAAAAAACCTTCAACAAATCTTAAATCGTAACCAAGCTAGCGTTCTCAAAAAAACATCGATCTATCGAAAATATCGATGTTTTCTTCGAAGCATCGGGTTGACTTCGCGAGAGTGCACCAAGCTTTGAACAAAATGAATTTATGGGGGGTGTCGAGGGGATCGTGAACATTACAAAACTGAAAACCGGTAATTTCTTGTTAAAGTTGAAAATTTGACCTAAAAAATATACGATAACAAACCATTTCAAACAAATACAAGTGTGCAGCAAGAATGATAGAATACAAGATTGCGCCGTCCTGGGCGTTGACATTTGTGTACCACAAGTAAACAAAAAATAGAGCGAAAATTAGAACGAGTTGAAACTGCCAAAGCAGTTCACATTACTGCGAAAAACGTGTTTTAATTTTGCTAAATGCGAAAATATTGCATTTTTCTCCTAATCTATTAGAGAACAGTAAACATTTTAGTTGTTGTTGTTGTTGTAGCGGCTACAACAACCCCGCCCAGATCGGTTGGTATCTCAGTCGTTGTCGTCAAGTTCCACTAACGGCAACCCTAGGAAGCGTGCAGCTTCTGCGGGGTTTGCCCATAAGGACAAGGTCGTTAGGGATGTCGGGTTTGCCGGGCATGCGAAGAGATGTTTCGAGTCATGTGGGGTCTCTCCGCATGCCGGACATTCATTAGGCACATCCTCATTCAGCCTACTCAGGTAGGAGTTTAACCTGCTGCAGTAGCCGGAGCGAAGTTGTGCAAGTGTGGTGCGCGTCTCCCGAGGCAGATGAAGCTCCGTCTCGTCAATGTCCGGGGGTGGTGTGCCTAGAACGGCATTCACAGGTCTAGAGTCTACATAACTCGAGACTGAGTCCCTGTGAATGCCGTTCAAGGCCTGTATGTAGGCTGTCGGGTCCAGAGGTTGCTTAATGAACCTCTGGACTTCGTCCGTTAGTTCATATAGATGCCTCCTGACGTGCCTAGGCGAGGGCTCCTCTGCAAGCAGCTGTCTGCACGGGTGGCCACTTCTGTGGGTCCCAATCAGGAACTGCTTGCAGAGCATTATATTGTGCTCCTTCACCGGGAGCATTTGCGCCTCGCCGTGCAGGTGGTGTTCAGGCGTCATCAGGAGGCATCCCGTCGCTGTCCTCAGTGCGGTGTTTTGTGCGGTCTGTAGCTTCGTCCACTGCGTCCTACTAGTCCCAGGCGACCACACTGGCGCTGCGTAGTTCAGAACCGGCCGGCCTATTGCCTTGTATGTTGCCAGCAACGTTTCTTTGTCTTTGCCCCAGGTACTGCCGGCTAGCGACTTGAGGACCTTGTTGCGGCTCTGTACTTTATTGACAATAGCGGTTGAGTGCGCAGAGAAGGAGAGCAGGCTGTCGAAAGTTACTCCGAGTATTTTGGGGTTATTCACCGTCGGAATTGGTGTGTCATCGACGTGAATCCCCAGCGGTAGCCTGACCTCCTTCGTCCAGGTTGTGAACAGGGTCGCGGAGGATTTCGTAGGGGAGAGGGCTAGACACTTTGCAGTGAAGAAGCGAGAAAGTTCGGAGAGATAGCCGTTTACTTTCGAACACAGGTCATCAATTCCATTCCCAGTCGCCATAATCGAGCAATCGTCGGCATAGGAGACAATCGAGACTCCCTCTGGTGGTTGAGGGAGCTTTGAAATATAAAAGTTAAACAGTAGCGGGGAAAGGACACCACCCTGAGGAACCCCCTGTTTTATTTTTCGCTGCTTACTCGTTTTGTCTCTGAACATTACCGACGAATGTCGACCACTTAGATAATTTGCCGACCACCGTTTGAGCCTCTGTGGGAGAGAGGAGGCCTCTATATCTTCTAGTAGCGTGGAATGGCAGACGGTGTCAAACGCCTTTGACAAGTCCAACGCTACTAGAATCGTTCTCTCACAGGGACGGTTACGGTTAAGGCCACGAGTTATCTGAGTGTTTATGGCGTTAAGTGCTGTTGTTGTGCTGTGCACTTTACGGAAACCATGCTGATGCTTCGCTGGGGTCAGGTGATTTGTGAAGTACGGGAGTAGCAAGGCCTCGAGTGTCTTCGCTACCGGGGAAAGGAGTGTAATCGGACGATACGAATCTCCTTTGTTTGCAGGTTTCCCCGGTTTGAGCAGTGGGACCACTCTCCCCACCTTCCAGATGTCTGGGATGATGAGAGTGGCCATTGACAAATTGAGGACCTCCGTTAGGTACGCTACCCCCGCAGGACCCAAATTTTTCAGCATCAGCATGCATATACCGTCGGGACCCATGGCTTTGGAGGCTTTCGCCTTCCCGATGGCCACCTGAACTTCACCGCAAGTGAAAGCAAGGGGGGCACAATTTGTTGGCAGTTTGTGCAGCCTTCTGGTCACTCGACGCTTGGCTTTGTCCACCGGAGGATGCAGTATGAACTGCCGGCTAAAATAGCTCGCGCATCGCTCCGGGTCCGACGAAGCATAGTCGCCGAAGGAAATTTCGACTCTGTCGTCGTGCTTCGTCGGATTAGATAATGACCTCACGGTTGACCAAAGCTTGCTCACACCAGAGGTGAAGTTGCAAGTCTTCAGATGCTCCTCCCACTTCTTCCGCTTATGTACGTTTACAAGTTGCCGAATCTCCGCGTTGAGATCCCTGATACGGGGATCTCCGGGATCGGCCTGACGAAGGCTATCACGCTCGTTTGCTAAAACAGCCGCTTCGGCAGGGAAGTTTGGACGTGGGTCCGATATGCACCCTGCCGGTATGAAGCGGGCTGCAGCAGCAGTGATAGCCCTGCGGAACTTACGTTCACCGAGGTGGACGTCGGTTGGTGTGGGGAGCGATGTGAAGGTGTTTTCAGTAAACTCCGCGTAACCTTTCCAGTCAGCTTTAGAAAAGTTGACATAGGTCCGGTGTTTGGCGGAGGCAAAGTCGGTTGGTTTATCAATCGAGATGACTATGGGTAGATGGTCTGATGCTAGAGTCAGCATAGGTCGCCACGTTATGCTGTTTATCAGACCAGCGCTGACTATTGTGATGTCTGGCGAGCTACTGCAGTTACCCATAATCCTGGTGGGTGCGTCGTCGTTCATTGTGCAGAATGTCGAATCGTCTATCTGCTCAGCCAAGTCTGTTCCCCTACGATCGTTTGACAGGCTTGAGTGCCAAAGATCGTGGTGCGCATTAAAGTCACCTACTACCATACGGTTTTCACCTCTGAGGAGCGCACCTATATCAGGGTGATATCCTGCCGGGCAGCAGGTGACAGGGGGTATGTATATATTAAATATTTCGAGCTCGACATCGCCTGACCGGATAGCGATGCCCTGACATTCTAGGGTGGTATCCCTGCGGTCGATGTCTGCTTCGATAAGACGATACTGTACGGTGTGGTGCGTGATGAACGCTAAGCCACCACCATTATCTCGCTCGCGATCTCGACGGTGCACGTTGTACCCGGCACAATTCAACAAAGTTGAATTGCTGTGCAACTTCGTCTCTTGGACCGCAGCTATTAATATACCATGCCGACACATAAAGGCGGTTATCTCCTCAATCTTGCTCTGTAGCCCGTTACAGTTGAATTGGAGGAGCTTCATGTGGTTCGGGAGACGTGTTGTGATGTGGGGTGTGAGTGAGGTGTAAGTTCTTGCCGCCGTTGGCTGTGTGTGCTGCTGGGGTGATTGCCTCCCTGTGGTGGTATTGGGGGGCGTCGCAATTGATGCCAGCGACCGGGCAGCGCAACACGGGCCCTCGAAGTTCCCCGTCCAATCTCGCGTGGTGCGCAGGCCTGAACATGCCCTAAAGTGGCACCAGCCAAGGCAGGTGTTGCACTTGACTGATGTCACATTACGGAATATTCTGGTCTGACATACCGTGCAGATTGTAGGGGGAACCAAGAGTTGTTGGCGGCGGCGTGTGGGTGGTGGTGCGGTTGTGTGTGTTATGTGGTCTGTGGTGGCTGTGGTATGTTGTTGTGTTGTGGCGACTGTGTGTGGTTGCTGTGTGAGTGTGTGGGGCTGCACGGGCGGACTATGGGTTGCCGTGGAGGCTGCTCTATTTGAGCAACAGGGGGCCACCTACGACGTGGTCCACTGTCTGTGAGTCCGTAGTCCCGAGCAGACCCTGAGGTGACTCCACCCCTCGCAGGCATTACACTTGACTGAGGTGGAGTTGTGGTGTAAACGTCTTCGGCATACACAGCAGGTGTATATTTCTGGCCCAGGGTTTGACTCGATGCCAGCCCTGAGTAGGAGAATGCGTAGTGAATGCTGCCCTATGGACGGACAACTTCTGAGATACTTCGCCGACCTAAACGGGGTTAGATCGCCGAAACAACAGCCCTTGGTCGGGTGAAACCCGAGTCATTCCGGTACGTAGAACCGGCTGTCGTGGGAATGTAAACATTTTAGTGCACTCCATTGCTTTGCAATTGAGCCTGCTTCAGCAAACGTTTTAGTGCACTTTATTGCTTTACAATTAAGGCTGCTGCAGAAAACTGCATCAGCATCTCTGCGGGATTGATTACTTAACTTGCTAATGGAGGCTGCGTGGAGCAGAAACAAAATCATTGTGTGGAAATGCTGTTAATATTGTAATAGAGAAACATTTTGGGAGCGGCTTTGCCGTGCCCTATGTACACAAAATGCAGCGATTCGTCCCAGCGCTACACTTGCATCTACGCTTCTTGCATCTTGGCGGCTGTCGCACTCTAACACACAGCACTTCATTGTATTAGTTTTTACGCAGTCTTCAACTCAAACTTATTATCAAAATTTTTAACTTATAATTCAAATTTATCTTTTGCTGATTTGTAAACAAAGCTTTATTTACAAGTTACCACAACTGTCAAAATCGGCAAAACCAAAGTAGCGGTACCACTGACGGCGCCACCTTTGTTTGCTGCACCGTGAGTGTGCAGAAAACGGGTGGGCTTTAGTATCCTCTAAAGCATGTATAACTAAAAAATATAAACAATATTGTTCGTAAGTTATTTGTTATTAAAATTTCTTAAGTCGTTCCACTAGATTTCCTTAACAAAAAGTGCATTTGTCACATACTTTCTTATATATAAATGC